ACATCTTTTTTAAGCTATAAAAAGAATTGTTTTTAATAAAAATGATTAAATAATAAATAAAAGAGCAAATTGCTTACTTTAAAGTAATTATTCAAAGCGGACACCGTGTCGTATGAGTAATATTTGTAGTTTAAAAATCACTCATACGCAATGGTGTCTCTGAAAATATCTCCTTTAATTATAATTTTGTATTACTAATTTTTGCTCTGTGCCTGAAAATCTACTGTCTCGATGGGCGCCAAGGGTGTGGCGGGTGGCAGAAGGTTATACGCCTCCTTTTTTGGCAAATGTCGCGACTCGCGAGGCGTCGCTAACGTGGACATGGACATGAGCAATGTGCAATGGCGATAAGGAGGAACTCTCGCAACGGACATGGACTCCGTCTCCATCTCCATCTACGTTACGGTGCGCTCTCCTCCCTCCGCTCTCTGTCCTGCCCCTTGGGGGCATAATTGGCTAGTCAGTCAGCCTTCTGTACTCCATTCCACACTCCACACTCCACAGTGCCACTGCCACTGCCGCCCATGGCACTCGACAATCAATTGAAGCGTAATGGCCACAGTTCAATAACTTTTTGGCCATCCTCCATGCGATTGGGATCCCGCTAGCTGACGATGATATAGACACGCCGACGATGATGCTTCAATTATCTATTATGGATCTAATGAGTTGTCATGTTCGGATATTATCGCAATTGATTCGATTGCAACTGTTTTGTTGAGGGCAGACGATAAAAAAAAATAGTTCAAGTTTAAGTCATTCTGTCTGTCTGCTAAAGATTTTGGCTTTTCATATCTTCGCAGTCGTTTTTTATGATATATATATGATATTTATGATATATATTTTGATGTATTTGTGAGCTATGAAATTAGGGAACTTTATTTGGTTTTGAATCTATGAAGAGATTTAAATGATTGGTAATTTTATACTCAAAGTAATTAAGTCAAGACATATATGTATTTAAATAACTAATTTAATTATAGTTGAATTTCTGAAAGCCTCTTAATTTTGCCTGCTGTAAGTATTAATCAAAAAACTCAAGGAACTTAAAGGCAATGACTTATATATTTTTGACTATCAGGAACACCAAATGGCCAACGAGAGTTTTGGCCCTTTAGAGCCATACCCTTACCCCACCCTCCCAACAATTTTCCACATGCCTTTCAACTATTCTATGTGCATATTTAAGGCTCTTACCTTAATTTAGAGTCAGTAAAATAGTATTGCCAATATATGTTAAGGAAGATAATAGAATATAATAATATTATTATACAATATTATATAAATATTATTATATTATATAAAATATAATAGAATAATTATAATATAATATTAATAGAATATTAATAAAATAATATAGAGAAAATATTAATAGAATAATAATAATATAATATTAATAGAGAAAATATATAAAAGAATTTAGATTTTCTAGATATGAAATGGAAAGTCTTAATATTTTTACTATAAAGCTATAATTATATTATAAAATTATTATCGAAAACCAATTTTAGAGTATCTATATTAATATTAATTAATTAATTTCCCTCTGACATTTAGACCTATTATTTTAACCACCACTGTTAATACTTACATACATGCAATTGGCGGAGTATGTACCTGGTTTACCTGACTATGGTTTGTGGAGTTTCTGTAAGAGCGAGGAACGTGGAATGGCACACGAATGGGAATGGGAATGGGATGGAATGGAGAAAGGGTTGCCGGGGAAGCTATGGGAGGATTGATGCTACGGGTTTTGGCTTTTGGTGGTTCGCTATCATTGCACAAGTGCGCAAAATTTTGGACTCCATTCACGTGCTCGGCTGCCAAAATTGTTGCCTGGCCTCCGTGAGCACCACTCCCCTCTCCTCCCCTCTCCACCCCCCTACCCAGACCGCCCCTGGCCTCGTCTTTCGCTCCATAAATTTCCACATTGATCGCCCCGTGGCGGCGACTATGCTGCTCCTCTCTCTCTCTTTCTCTCCCTCTCTCCTTATATATGTATGTATGCATGTCTGTCTCTCTGTCTGTTTGTATGTATTTAATTCGATAACAGCGCCAACGGTAACGGGAGTTGTTCGAAAGATTTTTACCCAAACTCAGTGCCACCCAGCAACCCTTTAGCCCATCAACCACTCCCTCCCACTGGCATTGCACTCTCAAGTGCAGTGAAATAGTTGTGAAACACTTTGCCAAAGATGAAAGATAAATTCAACGAAAAAAAAAACATATATATATGTACTACATATATGTATGTATGTAAATAGATATACATATGTATATAAAGAAAGGCAAATGGCAGTGCAAAGTCAACTTCAGTTTTGCATAGCTTTAAGAACTTTAATTAAAATAATTGGCAGAGCTACTGTAAGTCTTCCAGTAACATTAAGTTTGAAGGGAAAACTTATAAATTAATAAAGATTATTCTTTTTAACAAATATTTGTAGGTAAAAATATATATTTAACCCACTTTACTTTGTGCACTTTCAAATGCTTTAATATTTACTATATTTTTTTTTGCATTTCAAATGATTTAATATGTCGTATATTGTTGGCTTTTCTCAGCATGATCCGCCAGTTAAGTTTTGTTGACCAACCGTGATGGGGAAATTGAAATTCTGCGGCCATGTTATGCCCCCCGGTGCGATTTCCAACCCCTTGAATTTTTCCCCCCCACCAATGTCCAGTGTTGGTTTCATATTTTTGTTGGTATTAAAAACCGGCTGATTGAGCAACGGCAGGGAACCTCTCTAACCGAACGAAGCGAGTGAGCGAGCGAGTGAAGGCTGTGCATAATTTAAATGTCTAGACCTCAGAGCTTCCCCCAACTCCCGCTGACCGCAGGGGGGAAAGTGGGAGGAAAAGTGTGGGGGAAAATCGAGGGAGAGAATCCCTCAAGCATCCGGCCTGCCACTGTCAATAATTAAGTGCGAACCTTGATATAAACTTTTCGCCAACTCCGCTGACGGCCGGCGTTTCTTCCGACCCTTTCGCGGTCAAGACACTGAGAGAAATTAGGTATTAGTAGAAATTATAAGATTTTATTAAATTTATTTTTTTAGTTCCTATTTTGTTGGAAAGAATATAAAGAAATTAGTGGATATATGAATATTACAACCACTGTTTTGGTATTTTCTCAGCATTTCCTGTAAGAATTGGAAATGCTTCTTATTTTTATTTTTACTGTATCTATTTTTTGTATTGTCCTAAAACTAAAATCTGTATTTACTTAGAATTTTTTTGGTAATGTTCTAGAAATTTTATTTGGCTTGGTATTGGTATTTTCTCACAATTTTCCTTGCTTTCTTTGGAAATGTATTTGTATTTTTTTGGTATTTTCTCAGCATTTTCTAAGATAATATCTCCGTGCTCTATTTAGCATTTTCATAACATTTTCTGGGACATTTTCTCAGCGTTTTCTTTCATAATATCTCAAAACATTCTTTGGTATCTTCGCAGCATTTTCTTGCATTATGTCTAAGTTATTTCTTTGGTATTTTCTCAAAATGTCCTTTGACAATATTTCAGTGCTTTCTTTGTTATTTTCTCCGAATTTTCTTTGGTAATATATCAAAGTTTTCTTTCGTGTTTTCTTGGAATTTTTATTGGTAATATCCAAGCTAGTTTATTCCTATTTTTCTAGCATTTTCCTAGGTATTTTCTTAGTTTTATATTTAATATTTTCTCTGTCTTTACTTTTATATTTTAGCTTCGATTTACTTTTTGTTCACAGAATTTCTGTAATTTTCTTTTCCGTGCATCTTTGATTCTTTTTTTTCCGTTTGGCTTGTCTCCGTTTATCCTCGCTTTCAACTGCTTCTCCTCCTCGCACTCTCTTTGCATTCACTTCGTTTTGATTAAATTAAAAAGTTACCACAGACCCACTTACACAAACAAACAAACAAACAAATACACCCACAGACACACACACACACACATACACTCTTACGTATACGCAATACGAATGCAAAAGAACCAACAAATGGTCAATGAGAATTCCTTACACCTTCTCTTCTCTATCTCCTTGTCTTTCTCCCTTACTCCTTCGCCATTTCGCTCCATCTCTAATTGTGCCTTCAGCCGTCAATTGTCTCAACGCCTGTTGCTGTCCCGCTCGATGCCCCTCACCCTCTCTCTCTCTCTCTCTCTCTCTCTCTCTCTCTCTCTCTATCTGTCTTTCGCGCAGCAAACAAACAATGCAACTCTGGATGGGCTAATAGATTTATCACGAATCGTTTCACAGTCCGTTACCGTTATTGTTGCTGCTGAAATGTTTTTGCCTATGCCTTTTCCCTCCATTGTCTTGCAGGTGTTTGCAACAACACTTTTAGCGCTCTCTCTTCATTTTCTGTCTCTTTCTTTATTGGAGTCTTTCCTGCCGATTCTTCTGAGTCCTTTGGCTTTGTCGGAAGACTTGAGCTATTTTAATGGGATGAAAATGGTATTTTAATTTATTAATTTATTAACAAGTATTTAGAGGGATTTATTTATTTACTTTAAGTGGGCATTTTTCAGAATCTTATCTTTTTATGTCCTTGACTTCCTGTCTTTCTTATTTTTCTGGATCCCTAGTTTATTTCTGTAAATATAATAATAGTTAGATCATTCAAAGTTCGTTCATGTCTTGACTTAATCCTTACTTCCTGATCCGCTTCGGTTTTTTCTATTAATTAATGAGTAAAAGGGTAAAATAATGTAAAGTACTGACAGCAAATTAAATGCAATTAAGATGGACATTCATTATTATTTCACTGCCGTAAAGTAGGCAACAAAACAATTATTATTTGTAGCAAGTTCAACTTGTTGAATGAATTTTCCCCTTCAAGATTACCCATGAAATATTAACACAATTAGCTTGTTTTCGATAAGATTAAGTCCCTAATAAAACCCGCAATATAAAGCTCATCGTGCGATTAGATACTATTAGTTAGTTAACAGTAGATAGTACATTGATTATAAATCAATAACAATTGCCCGCTATATATAAGATGCAATACCGATTGGGGCTTTTCCCCATTTCAAAAATGGCAACTGCTGGAGCTGCTATACCCGTGACTTTACTGCTGCTCCTCGGAGCCCTGCTGTCCGTACAGTCGGCACCCGGTAGCATGGACGGCCGTGTGGTTGGTGGTGTGGATGCATTGAAGAATCAATTCCCTCATCAAATCTCCTTGAGAAATGGCGGTTCCCACAGCTGTGGAGGCTCAATCCTGTCGAGGAACTTCATTTTGACCGCTGCCCATTGTGTGACCAATGAGGATTCCGATGGAAAGTATGTGGCTGTCGCTGCGGAACGTCTCTCCATTCGTGCGGGAAGCAATGATCGGTTCAGTGGCGGAGTTCTTAGCCAGGTGGTCGAGGTGATCTTCCACGAGGGCTATGGCAGTCATCTTCGTAATGATGTGGCCCTGCTGCGTCTGGACACACCGCTGATCTTCTCATCCAGCATTCAACCGATTTCTCTGCCCACGGCCGATACTCCAGCGGATGTGGATGTCATCATCTCTGGATGGGGTAGACTCTGGCATCAGGGTGATCTGCCACGTCATTTGCAGTACAACACATTGAAGTCGTTGTCCTTGGAGAGGTGCGACGAGCTGATTGGCTGGGGAATCCCCGGTGAGCTGTGCCTCATTCATGCGGCTGATAATGGAGCCTGCAATGGAGACTCCGGTGGTCCGGCCATTTACAATGGTCAGGTGGTTGGTGTGGCCGGATTCGTGTGGTCCGCCTGTGGTACAAGCAATCCTGATGGATACACCAGGGTGTACTACTTCAATGACTGGATTAGGGCTCATTCGGATGTTCAGTAAAGAAGAAAAGGAGGCATAAAATTTCAGTAAATAAATAAACTATATAACTATGCTGCATCTCAAGTCAAAACACTATAAAGAATGCAGTTTTTTAGTTGAGATTTTTATTTGTTTTTATTTACTAGTTTCCCTTCGATAATTACTTTAAAATCTTTTATATAAAGTTTCTATAGGGTTATGACACTGCCCTAAAAACTATATGCATATAAAGTTTATTATGCGGGTATGACACTGCATTGGGAACTTTACTTAGAGTTTTTATTAGAAGCTGTCATGTTTTTTTTTTCTTTGTACTTAAATGAGAAACCCGAAGAAGCAAAGATAATTTATAATTATTACAAATGACAGTTATAATATATTATATGAATAATATTCTCAATAATTGTTGAAAACAGATAGATAATTTTATTGTTAATCATATATGTATTTAAATAAGTTAAAAATCAAATTAAATAACGTCGTTATTGTTGTAATCATTAAAAATCAGTATGACCAAGTATTCCCATTATTGCTTAAGTTTTCTCTATACAGTTACTACTTACTACCTGAAAAGTATTATTATTTACCAATAAAAATATTGTGTCACAACCGCATAAACAAAGGCACATCATTCTTCTGTCAAGTTACCTATAATTGGTCTAATTAGGAATTGTAAAATTACTAAATGGCTGACAATTAGACGCAGCTGACCACTTCCCATATCCTGCATATTATATCACAAAAATCCATGCATAGTCAAGGGTCAGATTTGTGAAAAACTTGTAAGTGGTAATGCCGCAAAATATGCAAGGCTCGGTGGGAATCCCAACAGGTGCAGGAGCAAAACAAAAACTAGGAGACAGTCTCAATTTTTGCCCATCAAGATTATTGAACAATTAGCAATGACATAATTTCCCAATCGTCCATCCCTCGATGGTTGACCGTCACGATTAGATTTCATTCCGCCTAAGGCCTCCCCATATATAAATCTCATCGCTCGATAAGATATTGCCACCGCCTTCTTGAGTACAGATAATGCGGCTTGTAAATCAGAAAACGATGTGTGTGTGTACTTAAGGAGTTGCTGTTGTCGGGGTTTTGGCCATTTCGAAAATGCCATCCATTCAAGTTGGAATACTTTTGCTGACCAGCTGCCTGGCTGTAGTACTGCTGCCCGTACAGTCTGCCCCTGGATACATCGATGGAAGGATCGTTGGAGGTGTGGATGCCGGCAAGAATCAATTCCCTCATCAGATCTCACTGAGAAATGGAGGCTCCCACAGCTGTGGAGGCTCGATCCTGTCGAGAACCTACATCCTGACCGCTGCCCATTGTGTGACCAATGAGGATTCAGATGGAAAGTATGTGGCCGTTGCAGCGGAGCGTCTTACTGTTCGTTCGGGAAGCAATGATCGGTTTAGTGGAGGAATCCTGAGCCAGGTGGCCGAGGTGATCTTCCATGAGAACTATGGCAACTTTGAGAACGATATTGCTTTGCTGCGTCTGGATACACCGCTGATTTACTCGGCCAGCATCCAACCCATTGCTCTGCCCACTGTTGACACTCCCGTGGATGCGAATATTATCATTTCCGGTTGGGGCAGACTTTGGCATCAAGGAGATTTGCCGCGTTATTTGCAATACAACACCTTGAAGTCTATTTCCACGGAGCTATGCGATGAGCTGATCGGCTTCGATTTCCCCGGTGAACTGTGCCTCATCCACGAGGAGGATAATGGAGCCTGCAATGGTGACTCTGGTGGTCCGGCTATCTACAATGGTGAAGTGGTGGGAATCGCTGGATTCGTTGTGGGAGGATGTGGCTCCAATTATCCGGATGGTTATGCCAGAGTTTACTATTTTAGAGAGTGGATTAGGAAGTACGTTCTGGATATTTGAATATAATGCAGAGGACTTGAGGTTTTTTTTTGTAGATTTAAAAACAAGTTAATAAATAAATGAATGAATAAATAAGTAATGAATTAAATTAATAAAATATTTACAGAGAAAGGGGATTTTGAATTTGTTTCATTCAGTGTAAGTAATTAATGTAAACGCTTTTGTAAAGTTCTTGAAAATAGTTTACTAAACATTTCAAAAAGACCTTTTAATTACAGTGTTATTTTTATTAGAAATTTGTTGAGTAAGTTTTTATACAAAGAAACTGAACCCTAAGCAAACTATAAATTTCTTTGGGAAAAGCCAAAGCAATATAAATTACTTTGAACAGTTTAAATAAGCCTCTTACAGATAAGACAACCACTCCAGGGTACTTCCAAAAATATACAATAAAATCAACTTAATGATTGCTTAAATGGCTTTCTATATTAACAACATATTTAAGCCAGAATAAAGTGAGGGGGATGAAACATTTTTTTTTTATCGGCAGCAGCTTTATTTTCAGCTATCAGCATTTGTGTTTTACACATTTTTTGCATATTTGTCAAGCAATTTCACTCTAAATTTGCCAATTATGCGCATTTTTTGAGCGTGACCCGAATGGGCAACCAATACACACCCAAAAAAATAAAAAATAAAATAATGAAAAAAAGAGGAAAATTATAAACCCATACCAATACAGATTTTGGCGCGTGTGTGAATGGCGAGTGTGGCCTTTTATCGCAACGGCTACATTGTCTCCTGTCCATTGTTGTTGCGAGGGTTGCCCGAAAATGTTTGAAAATGTATCAATAATAAAGTAAGAATAATGGAAACGGTTAAATAAATATGTAGATATATTTTTGGAGATATTTGAGGAATTTTTGCAAGATTTTTAAAGAAATATTACAAGTTAAAGTAGAGGAAAAGTATTATTTAGCAAAGTTCAGAATTTTAATATATACGAAGTTAAGGAGTAGTGAAAGTTCTTCAATATTATTTTTATTTCTTATAAATTTATAATATTTATAGTAAATATTCACACTCTACCCTCTTTTATACTCCTTTTTTTCTCACTCACTCACTTGTCTCGCTCATTTTCAAACTTATATTGGCATAATTTATACTTTAGCAGCATTTTTATCGCTGCGCTCGGCACGAAATCCGAATTGTGAAATACCAAAATACAATAAACAATGGGCCCGATGCCCAGGAACAATGGCAATAACAACACTGCCACTGCCAATGTTCAATGTTAGTCCTTCCCCCCCCCAAAAAAAAGAGAAACAAAAACCCCTTAACCCTTTTTTGCTGCATTTTTCTGTATGTCGTACTTTGCGTCACTTTGCGAGTTTTATTTATTTACGATTTTGCGTGAGCTTCCTCTTTCCTCTTTCCTCCCCCTCTCCCTTTTTTATTTATTGATTTACAATTTATATATGCTCGGTCACACAGTACGTATACGTAATTTTTGGCAATGTTGTCGTCATCATCAACATAGCCATCATCGGCATCTTTATTTTGGCTTGAACCGGATCGGATCGTATCTCTATCGGCTTGCACGCTGCCCCACCATCAATCATTTGTGTGCAGCAGCATTTGTATGTAAATAATTAAAATAGAAAATAATCGTAAAAAAATTGTGAAGCCTTTTTCGTTTTTTTTTTTGACGCAGTCCCTCAACTGCCTTTTTTGAAGATGACTGCAGTCGCGGCGATAAAATGGCAACGGAATTTCCGATGAACCTTGTCGCGTGTCGCTCTTCATAATTTTTCCTCTTAAATTATCGCGAGTGAAAAGTGATGGCTGGGAAAATGTGTGTGTTTGTGGAGGGGGGAAAAGCGAACCTATATAGCATACACGAGGGAAATGAAAAGGAAATATATAAGTTGATAAAATACGGGAATATGACTCTCAAGGTTTTTATTTATTATTGTGTCAACAGATAGATCATATAAATATTTTATGATAAGTGATTTTAATATAATTTTTAAATAAAGAAAAAGCTAATATACCCCTTGTGTTCTAAATTCAGCCAGGTTTGTTGGTGTCCATCACAGTCCATCTATCAATCTAAATTTACAGATATATAAGCACTGTTTTCAATGTTCAAACAGGTTTTAAATTACAAAACAGAAAATCATTACAAAAACAAGAAAGGAAAATACTTTTGGGGAAACTGAAGTATATATATCCCTACACTTTTGCAATTGAATTATAGGATCGTATAGGAAACCGATCATAAACAAGCTTCAAATATTCGCATTCTTTGAATCAATATTTATCTATATTTTTATACCCTTGCAGGGTATTATAATTTTAGTCAGAAAATTGCAATTCAGTGAAGGAGTCATCTCCGACATTATAAATTATATATATGTATATTCTTGATCAGTATCAATAACCGAGTCGATTTAGCCATGTTCGTCCGTCCGTCTGTCCGATTCTATTAATTATATTCTATTATTACACAATTTTTGATGGGCCGAAGTTAGTTTTGGTTCATATAATATCATAATATTGTAATGACAGTGAATAGCTTACTCTCGCCCTCTCTTTCTGTATGCCTCTATAAGCCTCTGCGTCCCTCTCTCTCTCTCGCTCTCTTTCTTACTCACCATAACTTTGGGTATGTCTGCCTCCCTCTGTTACAGCGCTGTAGAGATGGCGCTTACGCTCTATCTCACTCTGTTGCAGCTACAGAGGCAGCTCTTTCCCTCTCGCTCTCTTTCTCTGTTATCTTCACTCGGGAAGTATAAAGAGAGGTGCTTCGATCGCCGCGACCTCAGTCTGTCCTAGGGGTACCTAGTGTTTACATCGATAGTGAAAGTGATAGTGATTACCCTCCGAACTCAAAAGTATGACGTGGCCAATGGGATACATCCGGATAACCAGGAAGGGATCTTCGATACCATGATTACCCTAATATAGGGAAGGAAGGAAGTAAACAATGACGTGTCCTCTACTTCGGTAAGTCTTAATCATGACAATTATATCATATACATATTATATTATTATATCATATGAATATATACCTGAGCTATACTATGAGCTATGCTTTTATTATTTTTAATTATTGCCACTGATCCCATAACTTAATTATAATTTAAAGTGACAGCAATTTTTATTGATGATATCCACAAACGTATACTCAAAGTTATACATATATACATATATTTATAAATTGTTCTCAAAATTCTCCTGACCTTGGTGCCAACTTTTGATATATATACACCTTTAAAGGTAATGTAATTTCAGAAGCTTGTTACACTGTGAAGAACTTTTCCGGACATTTCCAACCATATAAACCATATATATTCTTGATCTACTCAGCTAAAATGATAAATTAATAACAGAAAGTATTATCTCCTTAACCGTTATAAATTAACTAAGTCCCAGTTACAGAATAAATCACTGAAAGTAAGACTATTATTAGATATTTAATGCAAAGATAATCCGTAGTCTGGAGGACTACGGGACGTATACGTGATATTCTATTTTGGTTGGGGCGATATTACGTATACGTAATTTTATTTTATATAGGATTTCAAAGTGTAAAAATAAAAGAATATTTTTGAAAACTAGCATAGCCTCAAAACTGGAAATAATAAACAGGAGTGAAGCATTCTCCTTTTGAGTTTCATGTTGATGACGTCTCATCATTTGAACTCAATGTGGCTACTTTATAAAAATATATCAGAAATATATATGAAAATATATACATATATTGATGCCACAGTGACAATGTCCCTGAGAAGATAAATTTAAATAAAAATAAGAAGGGGGAAAAATATGCATCAAGTTTAACTTTAAATACTGGCAAATAAATCCGGTATTTTTGTGTGTGTGAGGCTGGGCCTCTGTGTGCTCGGCATAAGAATGCGTCCAAGTGTATCAATGATATAAACTTCTACGCACACAATACACATATATCGCAAAGCCCAGCAGCAGCACATATCCTTGTTTCTGTGCACAAATATATATATATATATATGAGTTTTTATTTAAATGAATTGCAAGCAGAAGCAGCAGCAATTCCGCAAAATAAATTCGACAGGAAAGAAAGTGTCATGAAAGTGATTGAGAAAAACCTAAAATTAATAATCACATTACTCATACGCCCTGTATGCTAAAAAATTACTCTTACGCCCCGTGTTAATTGAACATTAAATAAAAGTTTCATAAATTCAAATTTCATATACCTAATGCTAAAATTTCATATTGATGTTTTCTTTTATGGGTTTTTTTTTCAATGAAAACAAATGAAATAATTTACCCCAAAAAATATAATGGGGAATCTGTCTCTGGAATGCACAAACATATACTCGTAAATAAGTCACACACACACAGAGAAACCCACACACTCATACACGCACACACCCCCCTCAGACAGACATGTGTAAGTACATACATCTGTGTATATTGGGAAGTGTCGTCGGTTGGTGCTACTTTTGCCGCAGGAAGCGGTCGCAGCTGTGGGTTTTAAAATTTCAATTCATTTCCGTTGTGCATACCGTATACGTATTCGTATTCGTATCCTATAGTACACGCACACACGCACTGTTACTGCCTGTGGGTAAAAACAAAAAAAAAAAAAAACTGAAAAACAAAATGCGGCTAAATGGTAGACAGGACGAATAACGACAACAACCAGGGCCTGGTTTTGGGCCGGGCCAGGTCTGGTCTGGTCTGGTCTGGTCTGGTTTGGTTTGGTTTGGTTCTGGTCTGGTCTGGGCAATTTATGTGCCGAAAAGGCCAAACAGAAACGAAACCTGAGGCCTGTTACCGGATCCCCCAAGTGCAACGTCCACTCACAGACCAAAGTTGGAGCCATTGAGGATTCCACCGCCAATTCTGGGTTGACTGAGAGCAACACATGATCCTGAGGGATATTCATTTCTACACATTGATCATATTTAAAAGAATTTTATATAGAAAAAAATATGTATTTAACAATGATGCATAAACATTTACACGAAAAGGTACACAAAATATATATAGGTAGCATTAAAAAACTATTACTCAGTTTTCATTGATTTTATTTTTAAACCCTTGCTGGATAGTTATTATATGTATGTA